GCCGCGCATACAGACCGGACCAACTTGTCACTCAGGGACACCGCCCGTCGAGTGTGATCAAACCGCACCCCCAGGAAGGTGTAATGCGTGGCGCCCAATTCGCGATCCTCCCCCATCGTGGCGTGACAACTGTCCGCATTACGAAGCACTTGGGCCTCCCACAATGTCGCATCGCTTTTCGACCCTGCAATGCATATATCATCGATCCATACGTCGATACGCACCAATGGAATTGCAGCCCGGAGAGGGCCAACCACCGTCGTCACCCCCGCAATTGCCGAAGTAATAATCTGGAGAATTTCTGGGCTGGCCTTGTATCCCATTGGGAGCCGTGTCAGCTCCACCAGCGTGCCATCCTCCACGCGGCATCAAAAGGGATGCCGAGTCTCCCGCGGTAAAGATAAATGAAAAAACAATGTCTTTAATTCCACGCAGGAAGCGGCCTCAGTCATCGCAGGTGACAAATAATGGGAAATGTGTAAAAGATAAACATTGGCCTCGTAAGGGTCGTCTCTCTTCCTGTCACGTGGCCACGCGATCTTTCGCCGTCGTAAACCGGTGGGTTTCTCCTCCACAACCGAGAAAGGCATTATCCATCTGCCGCTTATTGTTGTGAAAGAAGCGTCCTCGGTTATTCCTGCTTCCTTCATTAATCGTGCATCAGCGACTGGAATCCTCCGTGAGCCTTCGCGCGCTTTAACCGAAAAGGATAGAGAGAAGGGGGAGCGCCCGAAAAGCCCTCAAACATGCATGAGTCTCTCCAAGGTGGTTGGATTCAACCGGCTCCGGATCCACTCCAGATTCAATACGGGCACGTCGAATTGTTGCTTTAGCGGGATGGTTCGTTCATCTTGTGGAGTGGCCAAACGCGTCCTTGTCACGCGTCTTGTAATTGTAGCGGAGTAAGGATGAAAATCATGGAAAAACACTCCTCCGCTCTCAACCAGGGTTCCTGCCCTTCCGCAGTTTCTCCCCTCATATCAATGCGACCAGCCACGACACCTGGGTCAGCATTGTGGTGTAATTCCTCAAATATCGAACTGTGTTCTGGGGAAGGTCGAACAGGTCGACGTGAACCGCCAACCGCGAGATCACGTGTGGGTCCAAATTGCACGTCTCTACGATTTTTGCGGCGTGCCGCAGCGCACCTGTTTTATGGAATGCACCGTGTCATTCCAAGGAGCCAGAGCTCGCTCGACTTGAGCGGGCGTAATATTCGTGAGCTTTTCGTTTTCTTGAACTGTCCTGCATAGCTTTATAGTGTCGAACACGTCCTGTCCTCGTATCCTGACGAACCGCGAGGCGCGGTGGGGATCCGCCTCGCTGTCTTCGGCGCTACGGACCGATCCAAAATTAAGGTCCCGTCCGGCTCCAGTGTAAAATTGTTGGGAGTTAAGGCCGCAATCTCGGGCCAACAGCTCGTCGTCATCCACGCAAGTCAAAAAACAACACGTTCCTTCCAATCGGTCCGGCTGCGGATAACTTGATTCATCTCTTCCTCTGTTAAGGGGCGCGCCTGCTTCGTCTCTTATCGCGCCGAAATTTTTTGTAGCCCCAAAATCGCCATGTTCAACGGGGTTCAATCCATTTGCAACATGGACCGCAGCATCCTGGCGTACTGCAGTCAGGTCGATGGTGCCACATCGATTGCCAACAAAAAGGCCGCGGAGCTCTCCTCGTTGATCGGCCGTTCGTGAATGCAGCAAAAGGTTGTGAATCGCCCCGCTAGAGTCATTCTCTGCTTCCACGTTGACGGCGCACACATCTCTCGAGCCACCTCGTTCGCTCCCCTCATATAGCTGGCCCAAAGCGGGGATGTCGGGGGTTCGTCGTACCACAGTCGAGCGTCGTAGGCGGATAAGCTCCTTTGCCCTCCCCGTCGGTTGCGTCGGGCAATTTCAAAGATCGGGTGAAGTGTCCGCGGTGCGACGTTTGTGCGGGATGGTGGGAGGTGGTGGAATGGATGGGGCTGCCGTCGTCCGCCTTCATAAGCAGCGGGCAGCCCCTTTACCGTTTTTTGACGGCTGTCTGTACTGCGAGCGATTCCTTCTGGGTGCGCCTCGGAGGTTACATTT